ACGTATCACATCATACTTTTACCTATCATATCAAGTGTATTTTTAGAATATTAACACAAAAATATCTCTCTATTAAATTTCTCATAAACCAAAATGAGTAAAATTATTTTTTTTATGAAAAGTGTTTTTGGGGACAAATAAAATATATAAGTGGAAATGTATTTAGGGGAAAATGGAGTAGTTACTACTTCGTGTACCATTGAATCGCGTTTTATTACTTCATGTTGCATATTATTAAATAATATTACATCCGTTCTAGAGTATTTCTCTATTTTTAATTGTTTACAAATGTCAGACTTAGCTTATGTGTAGATGGATTTACACCATACATTTAAGGTTCTCCACAACCATATTCTTGTTCCTTAGAACATCCCCTTTGAATTTTGCATGACAAAACCATACATGTTCTTAACCTGTCTTGTTCTAGGCCCGAAGAATCCATGTGTAAAAATAAATGTATTTTTACGACCCATGGTGGATGAACTACAAGAATTATGGATTCATGGTGCTTTGACATATGATGCTTCAGAAAAAAGAACTTCATGATGAGAGTTAGTGTAATGTGGACCATTAACGACTTTCCAGCATATGGTATGTTATCTGGCTAGAGCACGCGTGGCAGATTAGCATGCCTATATTGCTTGGAGGATACAAAAGCAATCTGGTTGAAATATGGGAGAAAACACTCATGGTTTGATTGTGATCGATGGTTCTTGTCAAAAGACCACTCGTTTCGAAGGAGTAAAAGATCATTTAGAAGGAACACTGAGGAGAAGGAAGGGCCACCACTTATTTTTTATGGCAGACTTTTCTGCCTCTAAAATTAGCAGGGGCATGATTAGCGGAAAAAGTGAGTCCACCTCTAGTTCCTCTCTAAATCTTAATTAGCGGTGGGTTCTGTACAATTAGAGGTGAACTTTTCTCCCTCTGTTCGCAATTATTTTAGTAGTGCATGGTTAATCGTTGAAGAGTTGCAAAGAAATGTTACCGTGAATGAATTTGGTACCGACTACTCCTGGATTACCATTTACGTTTCAAAGAAGACAATTGTTAATATCTTTATGGTTTGCCATGAAAATCAATAAGAGTCAAGATCAAACATTTGTTGAATTATTGTTTAACAAATCCGTATTCACTCACGGTCAACTTTGTGTTGCAGTTTTACGAGCGAAAGCAAAGATATGATTGAAAGTGTTAGTTTTAGATGACAACGGTAGTCTTTGCAACTTTACCAAAAATGTGGTTTACCCTGAAGTTTTCCAAAAGATTTGGATTTAATTTATACATTTACATGTTCTTTTCGATATATATAGATGAATTTCGGTTAGCAAATATTTATGGTATATCCTTCATTAAAATTCCACAGTTCGATATTATATTTTGCCTAATTTTTTAATCATTAGGTACGAAAAAAAACTGAGTAAAAAAAAGTATCCGTTCGATCCGTGCGTGGCACGAGTTAGAATACTAGTTTGAATATAACTGAAAACACAGTTTACAAATACTAACAATTACTCCTTCCATTTCTTAAAACATTTTTTATTTTATTTTTTCTCTTTCCTTAAAACACTTGCACTTTATATTATAAAATTACTTTTACACATACTTTTTCTTATCTTACCTATCACATCATATTTTTTCACTAGTAATTTACCAATCAATCTTAATTTTATTCATCATATTAAACAAAATTGGAAAATCAATTCATTATAGTTCTTTTTTATTTTTAACCAAAGTCAATATAAGAAATTTGTTCAATGAAACGAATGAAGTATAGAAATCACCCTAAGGGCACCGAAATACTCGTGAAGCCCTGAAGCTTCAAACCGGGGCTTCAAAATTTCTCTCCCTGCCACGTTAGCTTTAACTTACTTCACAAATTCAGTGGAAATGGGTTTGAAGCCCTAGAGCTTCAAACCTTCATTTTTTACATTTTTTAAATATACATCTTCTAAATTTAAATTAATAAATCTTAATTATTTAATAATTTAAAATAATCGAAAGGAGATAAGTGCATTAAAAAATTACATTCATTAAAAAAATTACATCCATAAAAATGCATTCATAAAAAAAATTACATTCATTAAAAAAAATATTACATCGATAAAAAACAACAATACTACAAACAAATTACTAACTATTCGAGCGACTGAAAATATGTTTGATCAAATCCGCCGTTAGTGCATTGTGAATCTCACGGCTTCAAATTTCTTGGCGGTTTTTTCGTTTCTTTTCTTCATCAATTTCTTCGTACATAGGCACCTCCTTGTCCGGGTTGTATTGACAAATCGCAAACCCGTTTTTCTCTACGATCATATTATGAAGAATAATACATGTGTGCATGATATTCCTTTTTTTTTTGAGAAAATTTTTTGGACGGACGATCTAAAATGTGCCACTTAGCCTTCAAGACCCGGAAGGCTCGTTCAATATCTTTTCTTGCCGTCTCGTGAGCGTTTTTGTAGGTCTGGCGTTTAAGACCCATTGGTTCGAAGAGGGACTTGACAATCGTGGAATAATCTAGATATATTCCATCGGCCAAATAGTATCCATGCTTGTAAAGCGTCCCTCTAAGCTCAAAAGATGAGTCGGGTGCATTCTTATTAATGCAATCGTAAAAAACAGGCGATTGATCGAGAACGTTGATGTCGTTGTTCGAGCCCGCAACACCGAAAAAAGTGTGCCAAAACCACAAGTCATTTGAAGCAACAATTTCGAGCATGATAATAGGCTTGGAATGATCCCCCCGGGGGAACTGACCATGCACGCAGTGGGACAATTTTTCTATTCTCAATGTGTGCAATCAATGCTCCCAAGCATGCCGACAAAGTCGTGTTTAGTGGCATGCCTTGCCTGTAACTGCTGAATGTCGCTCGCTGTAGGCTTGCGTAAATATCTTTTATGATAACTTTGAATAATAGATTTAGAAAATTTTTGCATATATTTATAAACACTACTAAACCCGCGTCGGCCTCTCGCATCAAAGCGTTGGGTGAACCAAGGCACCTTGCGTTCAACATCGGCGAGTATGCGTAAAAAGAGAGGACGATTCATCCGAAAACGATTACTAAAATCCTCCGGTGTATAAACACACGGAGTATTGAAGTAGTCGTTGAGAAGTGAAACATGGACAACCGCTCGATCTCGATTTAAACGTTGTCGTCAGGTCCGGCGTCGGGAGGATTCGACTTCTTCTTTTTCGCCTTCTTGCCACCATTGATAACAACTCGTGGCGAAACAACAAATATCTTTTATAAATAATTATAATAAATAATCAAATATTTGAAAGAATATTTGATAGAATTGTAGAGAGAAGATAGTGAGAGATGTGTGAAAGATATTTTTGTTTTAATTGAATTTGTAGGTTTTTTCAATTTAATTTTTTTATTAACAGCTTTTTTAGCCGTTGGGAGAGGGGGGGAGACGCGTTAAACGTTTGACGAGTTGGGGCTGACGCCCCATAACGCCGCCAGGGGGCGGTGTTTAATGCCCAATCGGCGTCAAAGAGCGATTAACGCTGGGGGGCGTCTGCTCCATTTCCGTTGCTCTAAATAGGACTAAAATATAGAAAAAAGTACCAAAATAGAAGTTTCATGTTTTTATTTTCGAAATAGAATTTCGCACTGTGGTAATGTGAACATTACTATACATTTTGGTATTGTACATGACCTTGTTTGGTAATGTAAATGTATTTTAACTCATATTTCGAGAATAAAAATATGGAATTCCAATATTAATAGACTTTGAATATTTTACTTTTATTTTAATGTATCCGTAAATTTGGGGTACGCCCGCCTCCCACTTTTCAGAATGAAGTACACGTTTTAAAAATTCTCCATGAACAGGAAGCTTATTCCCAATTTCACACCTTAATTCACTTTTCTCCAAAAAATTGCTAACAGGTACCCTATATTTTGTGATAATAACTACCAGGTACCTCATGTTTTCAAAATACACCGAGAGGTACCTTAAAATATGAAAAAACTGACGAGGGATTTTCCGTTCTTCCTCCGTCAACCCCACTCATCCGTCAACTCCATCTTCTTTATTTCTTCTTTTTCCCATCTTCTTCTCTCGACCTCTGATCTCTCTTCTTCTTTCTCTCCTCTTCTCTTCTTCTTCTTCTTCTTCCCCATACACTGCACAGTGGCGCACAGACACTGGCACACTGCACAGATACTCCTACTCCTTCACTCTCCAAGGTAAATCCCACCTTCTTCCCACAAGTAACTCAGTGGGCTGAAAATTAAATTTTTTTCTTTTGTGGGTTCATCTTTTTCTTTTGAAATTTCTGATTTCTGTTCTTTGATCGAGAAGACATGGGGTTTTTTAATACTCGGATAATTAATTTGAAGTTATATGGTTCACGTACCGTGGTTTTGAATTCGAAACAATTGTCATTATCTTTCTGGTACTCATCTTTTGAGCAATGAGTGCCCCAATTTCACCTCCAATCTGGGAATTATGCGAAAAAGATTTGGACTTGTGCACCACAATAATAATAATAATAATAATAATAATAATAATAATAATAATAATAATAATAATAATAATAATAATAATAATAATAATAATCATAATAATAATAATAATAATAATAATAATAATAATAATAATAATAATAATAATAATAATAATAATAACAATAGAATAAAAAGGAATTCAAAACAAAAAATGGAAGAAGAAAAAATGGGGTTGGGAGGGGGGTTAGATCTGATCGCAAGGTACAAGAAGGAGAAGAAGAAGAAAGAAAAGGAGAAGAAGCAGCATCAGAAGAAGAAGCGGATGAGAAAAAAAAGAGGGAGGTCGAGAGAAGAAGATAGAAAAGAAGAAAGAAAGTACGGAGTAGATGATAGAGTTGACGGAGATTGAGTTTGACGGTGGAAGAACGGAAAATCCCTCCCTGGTCACTTTTTCCAAATTTTAGGGTACTTCATGATACATTTTGAAAACATGAAGTACCTGATAGTTATTATCAAAAAATATAGGGTACTGTTAGCAATTTTTTGCACTTTTCTCCGTAGGATTGGATTCTCATCCCCAAGCAAATCAAAACCCTTGGTAATTTTTTTTCTCTCTTAGTATTTTCCGAATTGCGCCAAGGAGCAGGTTCGTTTTCAAATTTCAAGCCCTAGAAGAAAAAAGAGGAGTTTTTTTGGCCGTTTTCGCGATTTCCCTCGTCTTCAAAAGTGTGCTGTTTTGATGTGCAGATTAATGAAGTCAAAATCATCACGACGGCGTTCTGGAGCTGATGGATCCAGCTTGAAATCAACAAGAAAGACGAAAAAGCCCAAGTTAGTAGTGTAAGCTTAAATCAGTCTTTTTTTCCGTTTAAAGGGTAAAATTGTTGGGGCCTGATTGATTGATTTCCCTCCCTTTGCCAGAAATATGGGTTGGGAGGAACATCCAGATTCTGATGTTGATTCTAGTCCCCATAGCTCCATTTCGGATGGGTAAGTACTACGTTTCCCGAAGCTTCTCTAAATTTTGCTTTTTCATCTTATAGTCCCTTGCAATTAATTTTCCCCTTTGCCTCTTGACCGTATGGGGAGAAGCATATGTTGAGATTTTTGGTGTGTTTTGTCCTTTTACCCTATGAAGAGGTTTAAAAATATTTTTGTTTAATACTCCGTATCTTTTTTGATTCAGTAGTGTTTTTTGTTTGGTCCCTTTACGGTTCAAATTCAATTCATTGTGTCTATGGGTGCACCTTTGAGTAAAGGTTCCATGTTTATTCTTTTATGATCACTCTATTACAAATCATGGGGAATGTGGCCAAAGACCTTGCAGTCGAGTGCCATAATTGTCGCTCTCCCAAATGAGAAGTCACGGTCAAACCCCAGTAGGGGTGTTGACTCTTTATACTACATTGTAAATTTGTTATAAAGTTAATATTGCTTAAAATGGGTGAATGTGTATTTGTTCTAGTCTAGGTATACTATTTTCTTATCAATGGTGAAGAGGCCTAAAGTCTTGGTGTGTCATGATCATACTTTTGCTATAGTTTTTATTTATCTAATGCGGATAACTTATTTTATATTCTGGGCACTGGTCGCTTGAAGATGGTTATGTTTAGGGATCTTTTGGATTGGGTTGCATGGACTCCATGGAGGCCAAATGAGCCTTGGCAGTAATTTCTCTGTTAAAATTTTCAGGCGCGGAGTTTCTTTTTATAGTTTTTTTAATCCATTGGCTTCTCAGTCCCACTCTTCCGCCTCTCTGCGTCAACTTTGCTTCTTGTCTCTACGTTGGCTGGACTTTGCATCTCTAAGTTAGCTGCTTCTCAGTTTTCTTAATAGCAAGGCTTCACAGTTGTTCTTTTTTGCTTCTCCTGGCAGTTTTGTTTCTTCCCTTTCATTGAAGGTTAGCTGCTTCTAACCTTTTTTTGTTTCTTCAATTTCTTTATTTTTTTAATCGGGAGGCTTCCCTGTTCTTTCATCACCTGGCAGATTTCTTTCTTCCCATTCATAGTCATACTCTTTATAATGGAAGAATCTCCAAACTTGATTTGGAAAAAGGACAGAGCTCTAATGACCCCTAATGGAAGTATGCTCAAAGATGCTACTTGTGCCTACATATGCACATTGTGTTCGTGTTGCATGCGAGGTGCTAGAATCCCTTTGCGCATTGGTGCGCATCGCGCCTTAAATACCTATGTTGATGTTCTTTATTTCTTATCCTCCTCCTCCCTTAACTCCCTATATGTTCTCCTTCGTTTTTGGAGGGTGCGGCACATACGGCACTCCTTTCGCAAAATTGGTGGTTATTACCCCCTAACCCCTTGGTAAATCCCCACCCCATCTGAACCGGTGTGTTTTGTAATGTTACTCAAGTTTTAAAATATCCTTGTTTGGGTCAGCTTGAAATCTGTTCTCCAATCTTTTTTGACTCGGTAGTATTTGATCTTTATTGCCTTTACAACAATTCAAATCTAATTCCTTAGTCTCCTCTTTTTTGCAACAATTGTTGCAACAATCATATCTTTCAACTGCACTCAAAGAAGAAAAAAGAAAAGTAGGAATGGAAGGGGTGTAGGATTGATCCAATTATTTGGATGAGTGAATTTCGCTATCTTGTTGGTTATGAATTTTCGATATTTGGATGCAGTTGGTCTCCTGATTCACCCTGCTATCCTGAACAAAAGGCATCTCAAGAGGATATCGAGCGCCAAAACACTAAATCTGCTATGCATGCATTAGCATACTACAACAAGAAACATGTATGTTAAATTCCAACTACTGGTCTTCATAAACTAAATTTTCAGTTTGCTAGTTATCTTATTTCAAAAACTCTTTATCTGATCACAGTTCTTTATTTGATCGTTGTTTCCTTGTTCATATGTTTTTTGATCTGTAGTGCACTAACTACAAGCTTGTAGAGGCTCTGTGGAGCAATGGCCATTTGCACAATGGACTCTGGATTCATTGCAGCTTTAAAGCTAAGCCAGATATTCATTCCAATGGGGAAAGTAATGTGAAAGTATCACCCAAGCTCTTCTTTGCTGAACTTTGTCAATCAGGACCTTGTGTTTGGAAGGCCACTACTTGTCGTGTTTTAGATGGTGAGGGCCCTGCTTAAGCTATCACTCTTCTGAGGGATTTCAATGGTTCTTTATTGCCAACTGCAAAACCACTCCCTCTCGGCCCCAGGGATAAAAAACAAAATTGAAGAATTAAAATAAAAAAAAGCCCGAGCTTACCCTTAGCAAGTGAAATGTTCCCGGGTTATTAGCTGGAATAGCTGCCACTGATGATTGATAACCATAATCTGACATACTGACCGTAAAGTACTTAATGTTTTACAGGTGCTAAAACCAAAAGTGGTTGTCTGTTGTGCAAAGAAGGGGAACATCCCACCCATGGGTTCAGGAATGGGCTTCACGAGTATAAACCACGCCCTCTACGCCCTCGTTCTGGCAAGGTTGGCCAGTCAGTACTGTGATCTTTGACCCGAAGTTGGCTGGTATATCATGAGCAAGTTTAATATGATGTTTCAAAACTCTCTGGACTATTATGTACTCCCTCCGTCCTAAAACTATTTTCCCAGTTACTATTCACACGGTCAAACTTAAACCACTTTCTTTACCTATTTTCGTTACTTATTTGATAAAATAATTTAGTCTTGTCACCTCTCGTTTTGTAGAACTTTTAATGTTGTTTTTAAGTATGTAAATTTTACTTTTTAATTTTACACCTACAATGAAATAAATTGAATTAAAAATAAAATCGGTCAAACTTCGTAAACACAAACGGGAAGATGGTTTTAGGACGGAGGGAGTAGTATGTAGATGTTTTAAAATGTCTTCTGTTTGTGGTTGAATATCTATTTTAGGGTGTTGTTGTGTAGGACAAAAATGCCTATTTATGATTATCTTCAGCATGTGGTGTACCCCATATCCCTTCATTTCTCAAAAGGTTCTAACCACCTGGTCTCAATCAAGGAAGATCTTCAGTCTGTTTGGCCTCTGATTTTTATAGGCCTTTGAAGGAAAAAACAGAAAGAAAGAAAAAAAAAAATCAAATAATTCAAAATATTGAAGGAAACGTAAGAGTCCAGAAATATTAGTCTTGAAGAAAATGAAGCCTTCATTCAAAAATCTTTTACAGTAAAATTTTAATGTACTCCTTATTTTTATTATTTAGCAACAAGAAAGTAATACTCCTTCTGTCCCATTTTAAATTGCTGGTTTTCCTTTTTTTCTTCGTCCCAAAATAAGTTATCTGTTTCTTTTTAACGTAAACTTTAAGAGTAAAATATCTGAACTACACCTAAAATAAGTTACTCTTCTCCACCTTATCTTCTCATTCATCGTAACCCTTCCTAAAAAGTAATGATAATTTTGAACAGTTGATTATATTTTTTCTCTTCCTTAAATATGTCTCAAAGTCAAAGCAAGCAATTTAAAACAGGATTTAGGGTGTATAGTGTATTTTTGCATTTTGAAATACAACATGGTTTTGTGTGTCTTCTAGTTTACTCCTTCCGTCCCAAACTATAATGTCTGTTCACTATTAATATGGTCAAACTTCTTTCATTTTGAGAATTCGAGTCACACGAGCCTCAACACCACTTGCTTAGATATACCGCACTCCAAGACTTAAACCGAAGGAATACAAGCTTCCTTTGAACCTTCACTACGTCAAAAACAGATGTTGACAACTGTTCTTTTTAGTAGTCTAATTGTGCTAGTTTCAGTAGTCTTCCGAGCAGCTGTCTGATATATTTACAGACTACTGTTAAAAACAATTGTGTAATACGGTTGACGACACCTGTTTTGTGATGTTTCAGAGTACATGTTTTTGAAGTTGTCCTTGTATTAGTAAGACATCTATTTTCTAGAGTTAAAGACAACTGTGATGTTTTGTTGTCTATCTATAATGAATATAACTGTTATTTTCGACTTCAGACTACTATTGCGTGGTGTTGTCGTTCAACAATATAGACATCTAATTTCAAAAGTAGTTGAAAGATATATCAGACAGCTGCTTAGAAGACTACTAAACAAAAATAGCATCAGACAACTGTTATCTTGTGTTATATTTCTAAAATGTAGACTACTAATTTTGTTGTATTTTAAACAACCGTTTCTTTCACTTGTATAGTGCTCAATAACACTACGCTTTGTTGTAGTTGTCCTTGAAGTATTCAAACTAAGTATGTTTGCATAAGACTACTACTATTCTGTGTTGTATTTGTAAAATGTAAACAACTATATTTGTTGTATTTCACACAACTGATTATTTCTATTATCTAATGTTTATTAACAGTACAGGTTTGTGTAGTTGTCCTTTAAAGATTTAAAAAGCTGTTTTAATACATTGTAAAGTTGTTTGAAAGACTACTGTATTCAATTCACATTTATATTTAATAAATAAAATTTATTTCAATTCCAAAATACTGATCATGAAACAAAAATAAATTCTAAAATGTAAAATATATTGAATAATATCTAAATACATTCAATCAGAGTCTAAATAACATCCAATAATTTAATATTTACATAATTAAAATCACACTCTAGTTATCCATTCAGCATGCCTAATTTAGTTATTTGTCCCCTCAATAACATTTTTGAATACATCCCTTGCTCTAGCAACATTTTCTTGTAAAGCATCCACTTTAGTCCTCAATCTGCATACCAATAAATAATTAAAATGAATGTTTGTTGATAACAAGAAAGAGTTCATAACAAAAATGCTTGAAACTTTTTGGAGTTATTTGCTAGCTAAATACCTCCAAAGTAGTTCATATGCATCTATTTAACAATTGAAGTTCATAATTCATCTTAAAAATCAAGCAAAGCTGCAAATTTTTCTAAATAAAAAATAATTCAGTTTAGATTTTATTCACAATCAACACTTAAAATTCAAAAATCAATATATAAACACAAGTGTCATGCTTCAATTTGATGATGGTTTTCCAAACTATGCTTAACTAGTAGGTGTTCTTAGTCTCAAGTCTCCTTTGGGGACATTTTGTAACATACTATATAATATGTAGGTAATACATATGTCCATAACCATCAACCTTCAAGTTTTCAACTTTTCACTTCTTTTAATCCAAAAGTCCAGTTAACTTATAGTATCTTGATTTAGAAGCATATACTATTTCCTAATCAGTCATAATTCAGACTTTAGGTTTAACAAAACCTATTGATTGGTGAAAAGTGAGCAATCTCTGTCCAATTCAGCCTCGGGTTCTGGAAACATTGAAGAACCCATCGATCAAAACCACATAACAAAAAAAGAGGAATACCTTCTTTTCTCCAAGGAAGTTTCGGATTTCAATTGACTTAATTGACTTGTTTTCATTGATGATGGAGGCGTTGATGGAAAAGTGAGCGTAGACGATGAACATCTCGTACCGGAAGCCATTTCAGTTTGATGTGCATCTTCTCCAACACAGGATTTTTTTCTCACAAGCTTGTCAGTATGCCATATTTAACTGCTTGAATTTTTTCACAAAAAAAAAAGTTAAAACATGTCACTTTGAATAATAGTATTACTTGAAACTAAAGTTAACCTTAGCCAAACACAGATTTTACCTCATGGAATTATCAAATACTGTAATTCAAACAATTTGCTCCAGAATTGTCATTCCCCATCACTTTGGGGGTTATGTCGGAAAATATCTAATGGCTTTGTGCAGCATTGATGCGTTTTTGGGAGTAAACTGAATATATGAAATCTAGCAGGATAGACTCACAAATTTTGATAACAAGTTGAGATTAAAGTAATTTGGGTGGATTTTTTGTTGTTTGAAACATACCACAATATCTTCATATTTGTAGAAGAAATCCAACCAGACGTGCCCAGCCCCACTGTCGTAAATTGTGGCTGGAGCAGAGAAGATTCGGGTCGCCGTTGTTTGGGCTTGGGCGAAATTGACGGTGGAACTCGCCGCTGCCCTGTAATCCGTCGGGGAGGAGAATCACTGCGCATGGTGTCCTCGTCGCTATTCCCACTGGCCATCGTCGTCGTCGATTGCTCCTTGCCGTCTGGAGGCAGCTGCCGATTGGGGAGAAGGAGGTCGGGGAAGTCTCGCCGGAAGGACCTTCCCTCGTCGGTCTGGTGGTGTCGCTGGCCGGCGCTATTGTAGGCATTCTTGCCATCGTCACCGCTCGAAGAAGAAGACAGAAGAAGAGAGGCGGCGGCGGGCAGTCTTCGATCTAGGAGAAGGAAACACGCGAATTTCCCTTTTGTATCTAGGGTTTTCTACTCAGTAATTTAAAATAATGTGTCTGAGGGGCTGTTTGGCAACTTCTGAATGGGTAAGTGCTGAATCAGTAAGAGGTCTGAACCATTAAGTGCTGAATCAGTAAGAGGTCTAAACCATTAAGAGCTAGTATATTGTTTAACTATTCAGAGGCAAATGTCTGATCAATTCAGATAAGAGGTCTTAATCATTCAGACTCTGTATAATACTTAACCATTCAGAGACAAATCTCTTAACCATTCAGACATCTGAACCATTAAGAGGCTGAAACAAACAGTCTGAACCATTAAGTGCTGAACCATTCAGACATCTGAACCATTAAGAGGCTGAAACAAACAGCCCCTGAGTAAAGCACACTTTTCAGGCTAACATGCTCCGAATTAAAATCTGTTTGCGTCGTTGGATTCGATTAGTCGATCCTTACCCAACGATATAACTTTTATAATAAATCAACAGGAATTTACAAATTCCACCTGGTCCGTCTTGATTCTTTCGATTAATTAACACTAATTAGTCTTTTAATTTAAATATTTACAAATACAATCTGATTAGTCTCGTTTTATTGAGATGATTAGAATCTCTAAAGTATCTTTTAATCCTTTAAACGAATAGATTGTCGTAAATAGATAACTCTTTATTTAACTATTGATTAACTTCTAGGCCGGTTTCTAGGGCGTTACATTGTATGAGTTGATTAACTCTCATACGATGTCAAAAATATTTCATCTTTTGAAATAATTTCATTCACAAGTTTTTATTATAAATAAAAATACAATATATAAATTAATAAAATCTATTTACTTGTATAGGTTGTGTCCTATTTGTCTGATCTAATCTTTAAATGCATCATATCGGACCTAATTAGATCGAATCAGACCAAAACAGATCTAATCAAATAAAATCAAATCAGGTCTGATTGCTGGTATATTTCATGCGACCCAGGCCACTACATCTCAGTTTATCATGTTTATATGTTGTTTAGATTATATCTAATCAAATTAAATTAAACCAGATCAAATTCAATTAGATCTTATTGCTTGCATATTTCATGTGAGCCATTGCATCTCAATTTAACATTTTTATATGTTGTTTAGATTGTATTTAATGAATTCAGATCTCATCATATCATATTAGACTAGATCAAATTAAAAAGGTTTTTAATATAACTAACCGGACTAATTAGGTCAAATTGGACAAAAACAGATCTTATCAGAATAAATCAAAGTCAAATCCAATAAGATCAGATCAAATCTTCAAAAATATCGAATCAAATCAAATTCAAATCTAGTAAGATCAGATCAAATATTAAAAAAATCAATTTTATTGTATAAGTCGTGTCATATTTGCCTGATCTAATCTTTAAATGCATCATATCAGATCTAATTAGATTGAATCAAAACTAGATCTAATCAAATAAATTAGATCTAATCTAATAAAACTACATATAACTACAATCATACTAAATTAGATTATATTTAATCAAATATATCTCTCATCAGATCTGTTGTGATTATATCTCTCCTATTTTATTTTTGGCCTTTGGGACGAAATGAAATATGTTTTGATATCTAATATCATAATCTCGATAAATCTCATAGAATA